CTTAATAAAAATTACAAATAAATTTGATTTGATTTGAATTTGATTTGATTAAATCAAATTCAAATCAAGAGCTTATTCAATTTGATCAAATTCAAATATGTAAATTTTCGATTCAATTTAATTTTAAGAAACCCTATTTATTAGTTTTTTCCTTACTTATAGCCAGCAACACAGAAAGGTCAGTCTGCCCAGGCTTTAGATGCTTTATGATTACCCTGTTCTTGGTTTATATTTTCGAAGTATATCACCTTTTTCTTCAGTACATTGACCTGGCGGTTTGGCTAGTATATTCCCCATTTAAGAACATGATTGTTTAGTTTTCCAATTTCAGGCCCTAGTTTAAATTCAACCCTCCTGTGATACTATAAAAAATCACTGTTATCTCCAAATTCAGAACTTCCCAAATAAGTTTTCAGTTATACTGATTCCTCAAATTTATTGTGCCAAAGCTTTTATTACTAAAGTTATAAATTTTTAGTTCTAAATCCAACTGATAAGTATAGCCATTAACTAAAACACAAGTCTATTTTTCAAATATTGTTATTTGTGGGATTCAAACTCTTGACCTGCTACTTAGAAAAAATAACAACTAAATCACTACACTAAGTTATCACACCTCTATCTGTTTTTTTTTAAATAGTATTTATAATATATAAGAATATAGTATAAATTTTTTTTTTTTTTTTGGCAATTTTGCCTTTATTATTTAAAAGATACTATATACAATTATGTATTTATAAATTAATACTATTTCTAGCTACTATCATTCTTTATACAATAAAGACTTATTTAATTACCATAGATATTTAAATATAATCTGCCTTAACAACATGTTCTCTTCTTCACAGAGCTCTAAATATAGTACAAATTTAAGTTATTTATAATCTTGATTGCTTTGTTAATTAATAATATCAAGGTTTTTATTTTTTATTCTTTTCACTTTTTACTTTATAACTTCAAGTATATTTTTTGGTGATTTTATTTATTTATTTATTTTTATTTTTTTTTATATTAAGTGATCCTGCTTCTATTTATTTTATAAACTACTATAAGATTATTATACAAATAACAACTTAAAATAGTATATCGCTCTATTTTAATAGAAATTTACCAAGCCAACAACTATTAGTCTTATAGTGGAATCTGAAACTTGCTTCAGATTTTGTATCAATAAAGGATACCCCCTTGATTATTTGACAGGTTGTTGTATACTGCATTAGGATCTCTTTTTTCTCTTTTAATTCTTTCTTCTTCTCAAGAGGCATGAGACAAAAGGAGAAAATTTTCTAACAAAGAGTAACAAAAACAACCAGAAAAAACAGAAAAGAAAAAAAAAACACTAATTGCAAAAAAGAAAATATATAAAAAGAAATCTAAAACTCTGAAGGCACTACAGTATTATAACCTGTAGCTAGAGCTGTGACTCGGATCGAAAAATAGCAATCTGGGTTTGATCCAAGTCAACTATTTTCGACCTGGGTTGACCCTTATTAATAGTCATATATAGTTAAGCTTGATTATATGTTTGAAATATAACCATTTTAAATTGAAAAATCTCAGATTTTATATCAAAAAAACTTTTACCCATGCTCGTAATTAGGGTTTATTCATTTTCTACATCAGAAAAAACTGGAATATTGCAATCTATCTATATATTTAACTAACCTGTTTGACCTGGGTTAAGGCAGTTTTTGACCTGTGACCTGTCAAAATTCTGACCTGTACAGGTCAAGCCAACCCAGGTAACAGCTCTACCTGTAGCTAATAAAAATTATATACTATATAGCCACAAAATAATGCTTGTGAGTATTATTTCAAAAATCAAAACCCTCTAAAATAGCATATACGATCTCGAATTAACACCTATGGGCGTTCTGAATTAACGCGCATCTCAATATGGCCTATATAAAAAGTAAAGAAAACAAAAAATGTACCAGAACTAGATTCGTACTAAGTAATCCTACTTCCGAGTCTAACAAAAATTGTTCCTTATATTGAAGCAAGTAGGTTTACTTAGTACCTACCTAGTTCCAGTACAATGTTTTTTAATCTTATTATGATTAAGGGGTACAATTCAAAAAGCAACCTCTTAATTCGAAATAATGCACATAGGCGTGCTCAAAATAATATGCAGGTCAATTAATTAACGCGCAGGTGGGCGTTATTTCGTGGCTATACGATAATAAATACAATATTTGTATATCTCTACTATAAAGCTTTGCCTTAATGTTAAATTTACTTTTTGACCTTTTTACCAACTCCAGATAGCTTTGCTGCCTACTCTAATTTATATTTTGAGCCAGGTGCTGCCATCGTCCAAGGACTTGTGTCTCAAGCTACCTGCTGCTGTAATTAAAATTCCCAGGCCAAGTCCCATGAAAAAGTGCCATATTCATCTATAAACAAACATGTTGTTGCATTTCACTAATCCAACCGAATTTGGAAGTAAACAATGCCAATCTTTTGAAGAGGTAAGCCAAATTCCCACTTTTTGTTAAAATTTTTTGGAAGACCGACAAAAGGATGAGAAAGAGTAAAAAGGTAACACTTAACCAAGTAAAAAAAGTACAGCTTAAAGAGAATAACAGGATATTTTGTTGTTCCCCAGTATCTTCAAATAAGTATAGCCTAAGAGCTTTGTTGACAGAAAAAGAAGGGTGTCCAAAGAGTCCTCTTCTTTACTAAGATTTTTTATACAAAAGCACCTTCTACCAGTTATCTTGTATAATAACACTCTTGGCTTGTATACCAAATATTATTTTTAAAGGAGCTCCGTGAGCAGTATGTTGACCTCTAGACAAACCACTACATTAGGCTACAACTCTCCAACAAAATTTGTATAAGAATTTTGAACTAAGTAATTATTAGAAAACTATTTTTAATATTTGTTTATTTATTTATTTAAAATCTAATAGTAATTTTTAATTTATATATTGTGCAATACTATTACCATATTTACAAACCAACTGCTATTGCAATACTTTAAATCATAATTTAGTAAATTCTAATAAGTAAAACTAATTTTGAATAAAATTAAATAGAAATTGTAGTTTAAAATTTGGACAAAATAAAAAAAAGTTTATATTAAAATTTGATAATAACTTGCTTTAATTGTAAAATTTAGCTATTGTTACAAATTTTAAATATATAATAAAAAGATTTTTAAAATTGTTTGTCTTGGCTAATTTTTGTAACATCTAATTCTCAAAGATTCGAAATTAAAAATATTTATCTAAAATAAAAAAAGTAAAAATGTAATAAAAAAAACATTTATAAGTATTTATTAATCTAATAATCTTAATACAATATACAGTATATATATATTATAGAAAATGCCACATTTGTTCAAAGTAAAGTTTTTAATAAAAAACTTTTATATTTAAGTGATTTTAAAGTTAAAACTGTGAGTATTATTCTAGTAGAATTATATCAAATAATTTTGAAACTTTATAATTATATTAAAATTAAAAAACTTGATCTAAATTTAAAGTAGTTTAGACTTAATAATGACTAAAATATATATTTACTTACTCAATTTTTCACAATTCTGCTTTAACTGGGCAAGCCATTTGCGATCGATCAATGCTAACAAGCTTATTGGCAACAAGAAGATAAAGGGCTTTTATTCCTTCATTTTCCTGCCATCCTTTCTCGCGTATAACTTGACCAATCCGACTTTTAAGATCAGCAAGAAACAGCTCGCCTCCTACATTACGAAAGATTTGTAGAATTATTGCAGCAATAATCGCTTGTTGCGATGGAACTGGTATTGGAGCGTTCGAATCGATATCACTTTGTTCTAATGTAGATGCGACGTAATCAATCAGAGTGTTATTGATCACTCTAATAAAATTTCGAATATTTAGGTTAAATTTTATTAATAATAACGAGATAATATAACAAATCAAATATTTACTTTATGACATGATTCCCTTCCGCTTGAGCTTCATTAGTCTCCTATATATTGATAAATGTATAAGTTTCATTAGACCACAAATGGATTAGATAGTACATGTTAATAATTTATTATGTACCATGTCTGCCTTCTTCGATATATTTTGAAATTTAAACTTTAAATGGCCAAAGTCACCAGTATACATTTGCCGTGATGAAATTTCTTCTAACTCTTCAAGTTGAGTATCTTATACAAGTGACCAATAAATAAACATCACAACAAAAAAATAAAAAGGCACTGTAATAAGCATTCTACCAAATACCTAATTCTGCAAGGATTTCTTTCTTAAATTCAAGAAGTTGCAATCTCTCGGCTAGTTCATGACTGGCCTAAAAATTTTGAATTACTTCTTATTTAGATTATTGGATTGCAAATGCATTCATAAACGTACTATTATATCATCGGAATCATCTATATCATCAAAATTGTCGTCATCATTTAAAACCATCATTCCCAAACGATGATTCAATTTGATCTCCTCTTCTTCTAAGTGTTTCTGCTCAGATAATTCTTCATCAAGAGAGTTCACCTATAAAATCATAATAGTTATATTTATGCAATCTAGTTTAAATATGTTCAGCTAATTTACTATTAACCTTCTTTATATACTCCTTTTTTATCATTTCTAATGCAAGAATTTCTTTTTCATGATGCCAGATCTCTTCCTCGATCTTTGACATTTGATTGCCTGAAGACGAAGCCTCACCACCTCTATTAACTTGATCTAGATTTTTTGCTCGTTCAGCAATTTTACATTTTTCTAGATTGATCTTTTGCTATTTGATTTAACCATGTAAGATAGTATTTAACTGGGAAATATTTTACATTTTTTTCTTAAATCACCTTTTCCATTATGGACTCCAAACTATCTATTGAAGACGTGATTTCTTCGTGACGTTGCGCCAAAAACTCAATTTGCTCTTTGGCATCCTGAAGATTACTGAACAATTATTTAGTCAAATAGCGATTATCACTATATGATAGAATCCTTAAATCTTATTATACCATATTTGAGCTAGAACATTAGCAGCTCGTAATATCTTATCAACTGTTACAGGTTCAGGACCGCGCAATGGAGTGGGCTGTTCTAATTCTTCTCTTTTATAAGTATAAAAAGGCAGGTTCAAAATTATAACTGTGCTCTCGAACTGTTGCAATACATGCTTTAAAAAATCATTACCGAGATGTTGTGCCGAGCTCTTCAACAAGTGTAAATAATTTGCGTTCATGTGGTGCAGCCTCACGAATGACCCTTCGGCTTGCTGAAGGTTTTAATAGGGCAGTTACGCGTGCATCATTCGTTGAAAAATTTAATGACGCAACTTCTGACGAAGTTTGCACTATTTCCTCTAGGTGTGCAAAACCTTTAAAGGACATTGTTTAAACTATTTTGATTTTTTACGAAACCTGCGCCTTTTTGATCGTCTCCTTCGCGTGACGTAGCCAATGTAGTCAAGTACCGGCACAAACGCGTCAACATAGTTGCCGGTCAAACAAGTATAACGGATTTTCCCGGCAAACTATTTTTACAACATCCAGAATTGTCAATGACCGAATCGATATGTCGGTCTACGTCAGTAATTATTGATTCCGACTCGGTAACTTATCGATTAGGTTCAGAATTTATAAAGGTAAAAAAAAAATCCAACCGGGACGGACACTTTTAAAGTTTAACGATTAAGAAACAAATTTGAATGCTGAATTATACCACTTGAATTAAAGTCAGTGATAACTATATAAAGAATTCAATATAGCAGTAACTGCCAATAAAACACCGGCAATTGCAACCGTCATAAAACACTAAATCGGCAAAATGTATAAATAGCACAAAATGGCAAAATTTTTGACAAAAATACTTCTATAACGCTCTTTCAAATAAGTTCTCTCCGATTACTTCATTTAAACCTTTTAAAGCCACGCCAACTAAAAACTTCCTCACAATCTCTGTTGTTATACCAGCAACCTTTATTACCACCCCTCTAGCATTTTCCTCTTCTATATGCAGTGCAGATGCAGACCAAATCAAATCAGCAATTTTATCCATCTTATCTACCACTATTTTATCAAACTCATTCATAAGATGTTTTGTTAAAGAAATCACTTTTGGCCCATATATTACCAAAGTTGCAAAACATTCATAAGGTTCCAGCCGACGTTTAATATTATTAATGTCATTCTCACTTTTTTCATTCTGCAATAATATCACATCACGAAAAATTAATTTTCCACCCACTAATAAATTAACACCAGATTCATAGTGCGTGAATTCCCAACGCTCTCCTCGAGACATTCTGCCACTTGTGAACCAGTCTAAAATGACGACAGATGCGTCATTTTCTAACGAGAATGTCTGACTCTGGATGTATTCCGCATCACGGAAGCATGTAGTAGGTTCAGGCAATTGAAGGAGTAAGGAACTTTCGTGCACATAGGCATTGAGACTTTGACGCGTGATGGAAGAAAGATTTTTTGGATCTGTCTGTAAATAATCATTGCTATCGTTAACATTCTTTTTTTGTGCTCGTTGTTTATATATTTTCGTTGAGCCCTGAGTCAAGAGCATCAAATTTACATTCTGAAAAATTTCTACATCAACATAAATCGAATCCCCGGATACCATGCCACCTCCATAGGAAAGAAAGTATACAGCTGCCAGGTTAGGGTTATGCGTTTTTGGAGTAAGAAATTTTAATGGATAAGAGGCACGGAAAGTGGAAAAGGTTGGCTTCTTAGTTCCAGATGGAAGGTGGCATGTTATCTTGCCATGTCCTGGCGGTGGCTTGATATCAGATGTATTTCCTTGCAAAGGTGTAACCATAATCAGATTGAGAAACAACTAGAAAAGTGATTATAATATTATTAGGGGAATGACGATAATAAGTGCGTCAAAAAATAAATTGCGAGTGATACAAAATAGGATTGGACTCAAACTTGCTAGTTTGGGATGAGATAGAATCCTAAATAGTATTTACTAGGTTTCGCAAAAATGCATATAATCTGCGTAATGTCAAACACTTTTGACATATAACGTAAAACTCAGAAATAAGCACCACATTTTGCCTAATTCTTTAAATCTTAGTCAGATTGACGAGAATAACTTGGTATAGATTTTCGCTAATCTGGGATCGAAAAGTATAGAGCTTCGATCTAGGTTGGTCAATGGACCAAAATGTGGCTTAGCAAATGCAATGGACTATGTTCATTGGCCCAATGGACAATATCCATTGACAATTTATACAGAACCCATCGTAGTCCATTGCCAACCTGGCTTCGATCGTAATCCGATTAATTTGGATGGATCCGATAATTCGGATTGAATACGGATATCCGTATCCGTTAATTTTAACCGGATAGACATATCGGGTTAATGATAAAGATTATTCGGATCATAATCCTAGAAATTTATGCGATTGGTTAATTTGAGCAGCAATCAATGACAAATTAAGTCTTATTATAAAAAGTGTTAAATTCATGAGTAAGCTTGGAGTAAGTACTGTAGCAAGGTTTTTGCTTTATTCTGGCCCAATTAGGTAGGTTAGACTTTATGAAGTGTTTGTTGAAAATTGGGTTTAAACAAAGTTACATTAAATTATTTTAAAAAAAAACCAATAATTATTGAACTGGACCCCACACATTTTGTGCCCCTATTATAAAATCGCCAATATCTCAAAATTTTATGTTTCTCTTGTAATTTTACCCTAATTCTAATTTTTATTGCATGGGGGCACTGTCTAGTTTTTTTCTAATTATTTGTAGTAATTTAATTTTTGCTAAATTTAGAGTTAGAATGCAGGTTTGTAAACTTTTAATCCATTGGATGATTCTATTAAAATGACCGGCTCAATGAGACGATTCCAACAAGTCCAAAATCGAGGATTCCGAGATCGTTTAAGGTTTTTGCTTATTTTAGATATTTTAACCAATTCTAAACATTCAAAATAAGCTTAAAACTTTAACGATCTCGAGACCCTGTGATTGAATTTTTAACGATTTTAGGCTCACTGGGATCGTCTCATCGAGCCGGTCCTTTTGGTGATAAAATCATCCAAAAAGAATCAGTGGATTAAAAGATATTTATTGTTAAAAATCTTTAATAATAAATTATTATTAAAAATTTTAACAATAAATCACTTTTGATCGACTGGTGATTTTACCACCAAAATGACCGGCTCAATGAGACGATTCCAATGAGCCTAAAATCGTTAAAATCCAATCATAGGGTCCCGAGATTGTTGAAGTTTTAAGCTTATTTTGGATGTTTTAGAATTGGTTTAATCAATTTTAAATAAGTACAAAACCTTAAACGACCTCGAGACCCTGTGATTGGATTTTAACGATTTTAGGCTTGTTGGAATCGTCTCATCGAGCCGGTCATTTTGGTGGTAAAATCATTCAAAGCTTTGATTTCAAATCAATCAAACTTATAATCAATGTTGAGTTGAATTTGGGTTTGAAATCAAAATTTTAAAGTTAGCTTGAGGTTGAAATCAAACTTTTAAAGTTAATTTGAGTTGAATTTGACTTCAAAGTTTGATCAAACTCAAACTTATCAAAACAAACTTAGGATCTCTATTTGTAATTAATAATATAATAGTTTAAATATTAAATTATGCAAAATTTTGGAAAATTTTGAATATTTTATTTAAAACTCTAATTCTAATTATTTAGCACAGTATGTTTTTAAAATATAGCACTATAGGCAGTGATGCGCATTGGACAAAATTGGATGTTTGGATAGCTTGGATTGGAAGTGATTTTTGGACTTTGGACGTCCAATGTCCAATGGTCCAAGATCCAATAATTTGGATTAGACATGACAACACTAACTATAGGTAATTATTATTATAAATAAAAATTAACAATTTTTATTATGTTATATTATAATAAAGATATTATTATATATAAAAAAACAAATACTACAAATAATTATTATAACTAATTTAATAAAATCTAAAATTTTTAATTTTTTTTTTATATTTAAAACTTTTTTATATTTAAAACTTTTTAATTTTTTTTTTATATTTAAAACTTTTTAATTTTTTTTTTATATTTAAAACTTTTTAATTTTGTTTAAAAACAACTATTTTAAAACTATTGCTATTTTAAAAATAGCTATTAATATAATTATTCTTTTTATTAAGTTAATTTAAGGGAAGTCAGAAAAAGAACAAATTTTTTCTAAGCAAAAGTTTTCTTGACATTAAGCATAAATATCTTAGCAATTATCTTATCAAATTTAATAATTTTTTTTTTATTTTAATTCTATATAATTTCAAAATTTAAATTAAAAAAATTTTAGCAAATTTGATTAAATAGTTGTTGAGATATTTTAATTTAAAAATTAAAAAAATTTTACTAAAAACGATTTGTCCCTTTTCTATTGACTCCTCCCATATATCTATAATAAAGTTATACTAGTAATTAAATAAAATTAAAAAATTTGCTAAAATAAATTTTACTAATTAGAATTTTGCTTATGTTTATATAAATAGTTTTTACAGCAAAGATACAGTAAGTATATTATAAACTATATAATTTAGATTATAGCTATTTTTATAAATTAAACCAACTAAAAAATTTTTAATAACAAAATTTAATAAGATTTTAAATTTAGCCAAAGTTAGTTATTTATTAATTAACTTGATAACTTATTAAATTTGGCTATTAAAAATTTTTTAGTTATATTAAAATTTATTAAAATAATAAATTTATTCAAATTTGAATTATTATCTTAACACAAAATAATTAACTTTTAAAAAATAGAATTGAAACACGTTTTAAGTTTTATAACAAATAATATTATAATTATAAAATTCAAATTATTATACAGTATATGTCGTACAGAATTTAAGTTGAATCGAAATTTTTAAGGTTAGGGTTGGGACTTTTAGAATAATTATTCCGTTCTAATCTAAGTGGATTATGATTCCATTCCCACTTACAACACATAAATTTTTTAAAAATAAAATTAAAAATCGGGTTGCCGTGTTATTTTGAAATTTTTATTTTATAAGTATCAAATAACAAATTTTATAAATTATTTGAATTATTTAAATAATCTATTATATATTTCAAGTAATTATAATAGCAATTTCTATTTAAATATAATAAAATTTATAAAATAAAATTTTTTTAAATAATGTATTATTAGTAGTATTCTGTATAAAAGTTTACAAAAGATGCAGTTTAAAAAACTTTTTAACCAATATTATTAATATATATATACAGTAATATATTCTTAAAAAAAAAAAGATAATACTAAGCTATACTAAATTTGTAAGTTTTTAAAATTTTTAATTATATTGCTAGTAGTATAAAGATCCAAATCCAAACCATTAATTAATTATTCCTCATAACATATAAATTTTAAAGTAACCTGCCCACAAGCTTTTAATTTTTAGTAATTACAAAAATTTAATGTAGAAAAATATTAAACCAATTTTTTCACGAAAGTATTCATATTATGTATCAAAAATTTTGGACAAAAACCTTACAAAAGCTGACCCGGCCGGATTATGAAAAACATCAATTAATTTTATATCGATATAGCCTTAATAGTAAAAATTTGCTTACAAGTATCTCAAGATCTTGATTTTTTACGATTTTGTTTAGCATTGGCATCTTTTCGAAGCTAAAACGGTTTTATAAAATATTTTTAATAATGTACTGTATATATTTTAAAATGTATAAATTCAATCGGAAAAAATTTGATTAATCAGAAAAAGTTAGTCTATAGTAATACCTTAATTATAAGTGAATAATAAAGGTTTTGGACAGATCGACGTAAAATTAAACATAAAAGGGCTAAGGCGCGAGTGCGGGAGGAAAGTATATCACTAGCGCATTATCACATGGTAAAATGTCACGTGAAATATCAATAACTATCGCATGAAGCGTGTGTAACTACATGGCAGGGCGCAGGCATATATTAGCAAACAAAGACTATATTCCCCCTTTAAACTCTCGAAAGCTTTTCCATTTCTAAAGCTCATCACATTCAAGTTTCATTGACGCTCTCTTGTGGAGGGCATATTTTTTGCCAAAGAATAGATCTTGGTGAACTATTGTCTCAATAATATAGCTCAACCAAAACGTGCTTCATCCTGGTAACATTGGTTATTAGTTAATATATAACAATAAAATATAACTAAAACCATTTAAGTTTTTTATTTTATTATCAACAGCTCAGCTGTAGTAGCAAGTCTAATACTTCTGCTGTTCCAACTTATAAAGCTCTAGTTCTTCAACTCGAAACGCACCAAGACTTTTTCTAATCATATAACCAAACTTAACCTGAATTATTCAAGTTTTTTTTTATTGACGATCAAATTATGAGAGAATCAAACTTTTCTTTTCCTTCTCAAAACCGTGCGTCTGTCTGTATTACCTCTGCTCTATATGACCGTAGAGCTCTCGACTGCACGGCCATCTTACCTTTAATCAATTCCCTTACACATCTTACCTATTTAACGAGCACTTCCCCACGTATCCGTGAGATTCTTACGATGGACGGCGGACTGGAACGTTTGGTTCGTATACTGAAAACTACTAAAGTGAATGATAAAAGAAGTGGTTGGAAATGGTCTATGGCATTTCAATGTGTTGCGAACGTTGGTGTACGTGGATCTGAGGCTATTAGAACGAGGGTTGTGGATGCTGGTATGGTACCAGTTATTATAACTGTATTGGACAATTTTTTAAGGGCACTTGATCATGTTAGACTGGAAAAAGAACAACAACAACAGCAGCAATTACTAGCAGCACAATTGCTGCCATCTCAAAATCCACCTCTAATTACGAGATCGCCATCCCCGCAAATTCCTCTTACGACCGCTTTTGTTGGAGCTTTAGAAAATGGTAACGCGTCGAATATTATTCAGATGTCTGATGAATCTGAACAACCTCTAACATCTTATCCTCACTCACCTAATTCAACATCCATTTTTCCTTCTGATTATCAAACTGACAATTCTGACATCTCTCATGCTGGTTCATCAAATATGCAATCTGTGATTTCAACCTCAAATCCAGCTGCCGCATCCACGAATAGGTTTTTATCAAATGTTACAACAACTTATGATATAAGATCGTCAGATGATGCAAGGTCAGATGTAGCATCCTGGGGTTCGGTTGCAGATAATGAAGAAGCTGTTTTAACCACAACCGTACCACAGTTGCCATCAGCAATTACTGGCACAAATGGTACAAATATAACTCCGAGTATACGAACAACTCAAACACCCAATAATACACCTCCAACTAATTCGACTACTCAATCAACTTTAGAAATTGACGTTCTTTATCGTGAAGAAGATATTCTCTTATCACTTCAATTGCTAGCTTATCTTTCAAAATATCCTCATTTACGTGCTACATTCCACAATGCTTATCCACCCCATAATGTATTTTCTCTTGTGGAAAAATTTACTCATCGTCTTCATCCTGGAGAAATTCAATATTGGGCTGGTGTTATTATGCGCAATGCTTGTCGTAAAGATGAAGATCGCGGTGGAATCCGTCAGTGTGCTTATATGGCTTGTGGCAAGTGGGAGAGTTTTCCAAGAGAATTTGCAAAATGTCGGAGGTGTCGTAAAGCTAAATATTGTTCCAAAGCTTGTCAATCCAAAGCATGGAGTGAAGGACATCGGTGGTGGTGTATGGAACGACACAGTCACAGCTAGGACTGCGATACATGCCTTTTTTTTTTGAATTATGACATTACTACATACTGTAGTTTGGGTTTGGGAATCGGGATTTCTGCTTCATTTGGGATAATAACCAAAAACCCAAATATATGTCCCATTTTTGGTCAAATAGTTTCAAACAAAAATCAATCAAATTTGTTAAATCAATGCTATAAATTATTAAAACTTTGTATTTTCATTTTCAAATTAAGAAAATTAATTTAGCGATTAGACAGGTTATGTTGAATAAAGCGTTAGATCTAATAGTTATCAAATATGTACACAGTAAGTGTAAAAATAATTATAAATTGAAAGTCTTTCACCAAAATAAAATTCCTTCGAAATTCGAATGGGAATGCCTAACAGTTTTAGAAAAAAACCCTTAATCAAAATTAGTTATATGGTCTTCATTTTTCATTGTTGTATAATCCATAATTATTATTGATAAAATGAATTACCGTGACGTACTAGAATCATGATCCAATTCCAGTCGAAACACGACCAGAAAACTACTCCGCAAAACAATAGAAATTAAAAGGAGTATTATAACATTCTTGGTAAATTAACGCAGAAATTTAAAAGTAAGCATTTACTTTTATTACTATATATATATTTTGTTATATGTTATCAGTTACACAATTTGCTATATTATATATAGTAGTAAATTTTCTTATATATAAAATTATAAAAACATACTGTATAAAATTACTAAGCTTTGATGTAATTGAACTTATACAGTCAGACCTCGTTATAGTCACTCCCAATATAGTCACAACCTTGTTATAATCACATTATTTTTTGATCTAGCTACGTACGTACAAGTTTTGACCCTTATATAGTCAATTTTGTTTTCCAACCTGGTGATTATATCGAGGTCCGACTGTATATAAATTAATTAAATTTTACAATATTAAAAAAATAAAAAAATAAGACTTTTAAAATTTCGCAATTTTTGCACAATTTGAAAATATATAAAAACAATGTTTATTATTTATACAATACTGTATATAAAATTTTGTTTTAACCAAGTTTATTTAAAAATAAAAATAAGTTATTTTAATAAAAAAATAAATTAGTTATACAGTAGATGCCTGCAAATTTCTAATTTTGTGGCCCGGGCCTGCCCGCAATTAGGGTTAAAAATTACAGGAGCGACCGTCGATGTTACACGACTGATTTTTCACACGGTGTGCAACATCAGTGGCGTATGATCGACGGGCGCTCCTGTAGTCAAAAAGGGGTTGCCAGGCCGGCCCGG